CTCCTGACAATTCCAGTTACCCATCCCACTTACCCTCCTGGCAATCCCAGTTCCCCTCCCGACAATCCCAGCTACCCTCCTGACAATCCCAGTTACCTCCCAGTTCCCCTCCTGACAATCCCAGTTACCCATCCCAGTTACCCTCCCAACAATCCCAGTTACCCCTCCTGACAATCCCAGTTATCCCTCCTGACGGTCCCAGTTGTCCCTCCCTGTTATCCCTCCTGACAATCCCAGTTATCCATCCCAGTTCCCCTCCTGACAATCCCAGCTACCATCCCAGTTCCCCTCCTGACAATCCCAGTTATCCATCCCAGTTATCCCTCCCAGTTACCCTCCTGGCAAGCCCAGTTATCCCTCCTGACAATCCCAGCTACCCTCCTGACAATCCCAGTTATCCCTCCTGACAATCCCAGTTATCCTCCTGACAATTCCAGTTATCCCTCCTGACAATCCCAGTTCCCCTGCTGACATTCCCAGTTATCCCTCCTGACAATCCCAATTATCCCTCCTGAGAATCACCCACCTGGAATTCCAACCCTTGAAACCACAGTAGGATTTATTTTCCTTTTCAATTTACCAGGTACCCCTTGCAGGACCCTTTTTGGTGGGTTGGTTGCTCGTTAAAACTGATTTTTTTTTTTAATAAAAATTCCTCTATTTGTTTTTTTTTTTCCCAGCTTCCTCTGGCTCTTTTAAGATGACCAGTTCAGGAGATTCCTTTATCAACCTGCAGTCGTTGACTTCCTACCAGAGCTCTCCTGTGGGAGCCAACGTGCAGTCCCAGGTCAGTCAAGGGAACAAAAACAGGGACTTTCAGCGTGGAGAAAAATGGGAAAATCCCAGATTTCCGTCCTTGACTCGGCATGAACTGATTTGTTCATGGAAAATTAACAGAGACCCAAATTCCCAGCTCACTTGCCAGCAAAAACAGGGAGTTTCTCCTGAAAGCCCCTTGTGGAAATCCTAATTCTTATTTCACTTTGAATTCTTACGTTAAATTCTTTTCCTTACTGAAATCCTCACTTAAAGCCTTGCTCAAAAGTTCTTCTGATGGAAAAAATCTAATTTTAAATTTCTAATTTTCTAATTTTAAAATTCTAATTTTAAAATTCTCCTTTTACTTAGATGTTTACTTAAATACTGAAGTTCCTGTCGAAATTCACAGTGAAATTCATCCTGAAATTCTTAAATTCTCACTGAACTTCCCACTGGGATTCGGAGCAAAATTGTGACTAAAACTCCTGTTGAGTTTAAAGTTCAACTCGCTTTTCAGGATAAGAAACATCCTGAAATCCTCACTCTCCCTTAAAGCCTCAGCTTGAAACCCCTCACCAAATTCTCCTTCTGAAGTTCTTCACCTAAAATTCCTCTCACTCAAAGCTACTATTGAAGTACCCCCCTCCTTTTTTTTTTTTCCCTGTTTAAATCCTACTTAATATTTCTTCTTTCCTGTAGAAATTCTTACTGAAAAATTCTCCTTTAAAGAACCTTTTTTCCACCTTTTTTTTTTAATTTCTTTTTTTATTATTATTATTATTTTTCACCCTGATTTTTTTGGTTTTGGGGGGGTGGGATTTGCAGATGGATTCCCTCCACCACGTCATCCACCAGACGGGAAGGTACGAGCCGCTCGTGGGGAACCCTCTGTACACGACGCAGCGCCTCGATGTAAGATGGGCTTTTTTTTTTTCCTTTTTTTTTTTTTTTTGGCTCCTAAACCCACAAATTTGGGTTTTTTTAACCAAAATCCCCTAACGTGGCTGATGTGGGGATAGGAAAAAAAAATGGGATTTAATAGACCTGCTGGCAGAGGGAATTTATTGTTATTATTGGTGTATTATTATTGAAAATTTGGGCTTTGCTCACGAAAAAAAAAGTGTGTGTTTAGTTAATTCTTGCCAACAGGAAATTATAGGCATCATAAGATTGGAAAAGAGCTAAATGAAGCGTTAAATACCGACACATCTCAGTATTTTTTTGTCATTGATAAACGTGTGAGAAATCCCAGTTGTTCGTTAACCTGTGCCAGTATATTTTTAATACTATTTAAGAGCTTTGAGAGTAATATATTTACTGTATTAGAGCACAGATTGCTATATTTAACCTCCAATATGAATATATTTGAATTTCCCGGAGCAGGTGTAAGAGGTTTTTGATGGGATATTCAAGGACTGCGCTTGGCTGTATTTATTTCCTTTTAAAATCTGTCTCTTACCAACTTCTAAAGCCACATTTTGTTGTCTGTGTGTGATTTCTTGGAGGTTTTAATGCAGTGAGATGTAAATTTTGTGTGTTTTGCTGTCCCCACAGGCCAACGGCAGCTGGCAGGACCCCACCACCCCCTCATCCATCACCTCACCTGCCGGAGACCCGGGAAGCGTCAACTCCGACGCCTCCAATTAAGTTTTTAGGACCTACTGACGGAGAGGAGAGAGGTCATTTAGTGTAATTAGTCAATGTTGCTCTCTTTTGCCAAGATAATTGTTGACTCACGATTAATTAATTACCTCAGAACAAACCAATAGATTGTGATCGCAGCGACGCCTCTACCTCTCACCGCCGAGTTCGTCACCCCCATCGGGACCTGAAATTGTTTTAAAACAACTTCATTTGCCTCAACAAATTCAATTTTTTTTTTTAACGAGCAAAACACGGATTTTTACGGTAAGAACTTGAAAAAGCGTCTCTCGGAACTTGGCGTTTCGTCTCCAGTTTTACAAGCTGAAGAAAACCGATTTATTTTCCTTTCCGTCAGGTTTTTTTACGCTGGGATTTCTGTTCTAGGTGAATAGTTACTGACAGTCCAACCCCCGTATTGTAATTGTATGTTCTCTGTATTGTAATTTTGTATAGGAAATTCAGCTTTTCTTAACTGATTTAGCTAATTAATCAGAACGTCGCTTTACCAAACCTCTCACTGGACGCCGCTCGCGGGTCGGACCTTCCATCGGTGTCATTGAACGTCGGGAAATTCAACGGCTTTACTTTTTCTGAGTGAAAAAGTGAAAAAAAAAAAGAAAGAAAGAAAAAACCCCCCAAACCACCACAAAACAGCCGAACCACGGGATTTCCCCCTGGATACAAGGGGGTTTGTGCATTTGCTGTTAACAGAGTCCACCCCTTTCAGCTGAGATTTTATCAAAGATAATAAACTTCCAAAGCCTTTTTTTTTTTTTTTTTTCTTTTTTTCCCCACTTTTTTTCTTGACTTTCCTCTCGGGTTTGAGGGGCTGGGGTGGGAGCGGTGGAAGTTTGTGAGGCGGGAACGGCGTGAGGGGCGGGAAAGGGCGGGAAGGACGTGAGGGGCGGGAAAAGGGAGGGAAAGGCATGAGGTGGGAAGAGCGTGAGGGGCGGGAAAGTTGTGAGGTGGGAAAGGCGTGAGGGACAGGAAGGGCAGGAAAAGAGTGGGAAAGGCGTGAGGGGCAAGAAGAGTGTGAGGCGAGAATGGCATGAGGGGCGGGGAAGGTGTGAGGGGTGGGAAAGGTTTGAGAGGTGGGAAGGGAGTGAAGGGCAGGAAAAGGGCGGTAGCAGCGTGAGGGCCGGGAAAGGGTGGGAAAAGGGTAGGAATGGCAGCAACGGCGTGAGGGGGGAATGGCGTGAGGGGTGGTAGAAGGGCGAGAATGACGTGGGGCGGGAAAGGCGAGCGGTGGGAAGGGCAGGAAGGGCGCGAAGAGGGAACAGTTCGAGGTGGGAAAGGGCGGGAACGGCATGAGGGGCAGGAAAGGGTGGGAAAAGGGTAAGAAGGGCAGGAACGGTGTGAGGGGGGAACGGCGTGAGGGGTGGTAGAAGGGCGAGAACGGCGCGGGGCGGGAAAGGCGAGCGGCGGGAAGGGCGGGAAGGGTGGGAAGGGCGCGAAGAGGGAACAGTTCAAGGCGGGAACGGTGTGAGGGGCAGGAAAGGGTGGGAAAAGGGCAGGAACGGCGTGAGGGGGGAATGGCGTGAGGGGTGGTGGAAGGGCGAGAACGGTGCGGGGCAGGAAAGGCAAGCGGCGGGAAGGGCGGGAAGAGCAGGAAGGGCGGGAAGAGGGAACAGTTCGAGGCGGGAACGGCATGAGGGGCAGGAAAGGGTGGGAAAAGGGTAGGAAGGCGTGAGGAGGGGAATGGCGTGAGGGGTGGTAGAAGGGCGAGAACGGCGTGGGGCGGGAAAGGCGAGCGGCAGGAAGAGCCTGGGAATGGTGGGAAGCGGGAACAGTTCAAGGCAGGACAGGGTGGGAACGGCGTGAGGGGTATGAAAGGGTGGGAAAAGCGTATGAATGGCAGGAACGGCATGAGGGGTGGTAGGGAAAGGCGAGCGGCGGGAAGAGCTCGGGAAGGGTGCAAAGCGGGAACAGTTCGAGGCGGGAAAGGGCGAGAATGGCGTGAGGGGCAGGAAAGGGTGGGAAAAGGGTAAGAACGGCAGAAACGGTGTAAGGGGGGAACAGCGTGAGGGGTGGTAGAAGGGCGAGAACAGCGCGGGGCGGGAAAGGCGTGTGGTGGGAAGAGCTCAGGAAGGGTGCAAAGCAGGAACAGTTCGAGGCGGGAAAGGGCGGGAACAGCGTGAGGGGCAGGAAAGGGTGGGAAAAGGGTAGGAACGGCGTGAGGGGGGGAACGGCGTGAGGGGTGGTAGAAGGGCGAGAATGGCGAGCGGCGGGAAGAGCGCGAAGAGGGAACAGTCCGAGGCGGGAAAAGGGCGGGAACGGCGTGAGGGGTAGGAAAGGGTGGGAAAAGGGTAAGAACGGCAGGAATGGCGTGAGGGGTGGTAGAAGGGCGGGAACGGCGAGCGGCGGGAAGGGCGCGAAGTGGGAACAGTCCGAGGCGGGAAAAGGGCGGGAACGGCGTGAGGGGCAGGAAAGGGTGGGAAAAGGGTAGGAACGGCGTGAGGGGGAGAACGACGGGAAGAGCGCGGGAAGGGCGCGAAGAGGGAACAGTCCGAGGCGGGAAAAGGGCGGGAACGGCGTGAGGGGCGGGAGAAGGCGGGAAGCTCGGAGCGGGCTCCGCGCATGCGCGGGGCTGAGGGGAGGGTGCCGCGTTCCCGCCATGGCGGAGCCATCGGAGGCGGCGGCGGGACCCACTCCGGCCGCCCCTCCGTCCCCGCGGGCCCCGGGCGGGCTGGACGGGGAGGTGAGGGCTGCAGGGGCCCGGCCCGGCCGGGGGGAGCCGCGGGGCGGCCGCGCTTCCAGCCCCCTAACGGTTTTTTCCCTCAGCGTTGCCCCGGCGGAGCCCGCCCAGAGCCCGGAGGGGCTGCAGGAGGTAAAGGGGTCAGAGGAGGGAAAAGGGAGGGGGGTGCCGGCTCGGGAGCCCGGTGGGGGTGCAGGAAGAGGGTGGTTGGATGATATGGGGGGCTGCGAAGTGGGGACGCCCTCCTGGGCGCCTCAGTGCTATTGCCCTCATCCGCCTTCACTATTGTTCCCTAATCTCCCTCAGCTGTCTCCTCATCGCTCTCACCCCTGTCCCCTCATCCCCCTCACCCCTGTCCCCTCATCCCCCTTACCCCTATTCCTCATCCACCTCACCCCTATTCCGTCATCCCCCTCACCGCTATTCCCTCATCCCTCACCCCTATTCCCTCATCCACCTCACCCTGTCCCTCATCCCCTCACCCTGTCCCCTCATCGCCCTCACCCCTACTCCTCATCCCCCTCACCCTGTCCCCTCATCCCCTCACCCATATTCCCTCATCCCCCTCACCCCTACTCCCTCATCCCCCTCACCCCTATTCCCTCATCCCCCTCACCCCTATTCCCTCATCCCCTCACCCCTGTCCCTCATCCCCCTCACCCCTATTCCTCATCCCCTCACCCCTATTCCCTCATCCCCCTCACCCCTATTCCGTCATCCCCCTCACCCTGTCCCCTCATCCCCTCACCCCTGTCCCCTCATCCCCCTCACCCCTATTCCCTCATCCCCTCACCCCTATTCCCTCATCCCCTCACCCCTGTCCCTCATCCCCCTCACCCTGTCCCTCATCCCCCTCACCCCTCTCCCCTCATCCCCCTCACCCTATTCCCTCATCCCCTCACCCCTATTCCCTCATCCCCCTCACCCTGTTCCCTCATCCCCTCACCCCTATTCCCTCATCCCCCTCACCCTCTCCCCTCATCCCCTCACCCCTATTCCCTCATCCCCTCACCCCTGTCCCCTCATCCCCTCACTCCCTGTCCCCTCATCCCCCTCACCCCTGTCCCTCATCCCCCTCACCCCTGTCCCCTCATCCCCTCACCCTGTCCCCTCATCCCCTCACCCCTGTCCCCTCATCCCTCACCCTATTCCCTCATCCCCCTCACCCCTGTCCCCTCATCCCCCTCACCCCTGTCCCCTCATCCCCCTCACCCCTATTCCCTCATCCCCCTCACCCCTATTCCCTCATCCCCCTCACCCCTGTTCCCTCATCCCCCTCACCCTGTCCCCTCATCCCCTCACCCCTATTCCCTCATCCCCCTCACCCCTGTTCCCTCATCCCCCTCACCCCTATCCCCTCATCCCCCTCACCCCTGTCCCCTCATCCCCCTCACCCCTCCTCCCCTCACCTATCCCCCTCACCCCTCTCCTCATCCCCTCACCCCTGTCCCCTCATCCCCCTCACCCCTGTCCTCATCCCCCTCACCCTGTCCCCTCATCCCCTCACCCCTCTCCCTCATCCCCCTCACCCTCTCCCCTCATCCCCTCACCCTATTCCCTCATCCCCCTCACCGCTATTCCTCATCCCCCTCACCCCTGTCCCTCATCCCCCTCACCCCTGTCCCCTCGTCCCCCTCACCCCTGTCCCTCATCCCCCTCACCCCTGTCCCCTCATCCCCCTCACCCCTCTCCCCTCATCCCCCTCACCCCTATCCCCTCATCCCCCTCACCCCTATCCCCACTATCCCCTCATCCCCCTCACCGCTATTCTCTCATCCCCCTCACCCCTGTCCCCACTATCCCCTCATCCCCCCTCACTCTCCTGCCCCTCCCAGTTCAAAATAAAAGCCCAAAGAACACGTTCAGCCCTCTGGACTCCTTGGGAAAACCCTCTCCTCTCTTATATATAATCCTGGATATCCCGAGTTGGAAGGCCCCCCACCAGCACCGCTGAGTCTCCTTTTTAGCCCTCTAAACGTGGCGATTTCTCCTCTTTTCCCTCAGATCCCGAGCCTGGAGCGCAGGAGGCGGGTGCTGAGCCCTTCCTGAAACCACCGGCCGCCAGAACCCCTGGAGCATCCATCAGGAAAAGGCGCCTGGGCACCCCCAAGCCGAGGCTGAGCCCCCTCAGGAGCAGCCCCCGGAGAAGGGGGAGCAGCCCCAGGCAGGAGCAGAGCCCGAACTCCTTCAGCTTGTCCCCCCTCGTGGCCACCCCCCAGGGCAAGCGGCGCTCCTGGTGCCGCTCCAGCCTCAAGGGCAGCAAGCGCCGCAAATCCCTGCCCCCCGTCCACAGGGACATCGCTGGTGGGTGCTCCTCGGCCTCGTTAGGGGTTATTCCTGATTAAAACCCGCCCAGAGCCCTCTTGGAAGAGGCCCTGGGAGGCCCAGGGGGTCTGAGGGTCAGCGGGGATGCTGCACTGAAGCTTCTGTCCGGGAGGATTTTGCAGCTCCTGCCTTTTGATTCCCCGATTCTTGATTCTTAAATGGGACTTCCTCTTTCTTTTTCCCCTTTTTCTCCTTTTTCTCTTTTCTCTCTTTCTTTTTCCTCTTTTTCTCCCTTTTTCCCCTTTTTCTCCCTTTCTTTTTTCCCTTTTTCTCCCATTTTTTTCCCCTTTTTCTCCTTTTTTCCCCTTTTTCTCCTTTTTTCTCTTTTCTCTCTTTCTTTTTTCCCTTTTTCTCCCTTTCTTTTTTCCCTTTTTTCTCCCTTTCTTTTTTCCCTTTTTCTCCCTTTTTTTTCCCCTTTTTCTCCCTTCTTCCCCTTTTTCTCCCTTTCTTTTTTTCCCTTTTTCTCCCTTTCTTTTTTCCCTTTTTCTCCCTTTCTTTTTCCCCTTTTTCTCCCTTTCTTTTTCTCCCTTTTTCTCCCTTTCTTTTTCCCCCTTTTTTTCCCTTTTTCCCCCCCTTTTTCTCCCTTTTTTCTCCCATTCTTTTTCCCATTTTTCTCCCTTTTCCCTGCTGCTTCCATATCCTGCACCCCCTCCATTCCTGCCCAACAACAGCTTTAGGGAACTTCAGGGAACATTCCAACCGTTTTCCAGGAATTTTAATTATTCTTAACCAACTTAATCCTCATTTTTCAGAGCTAAGCAAATCCATCAGCCTGGACCTGCCCGAGAGCGAGCGTCTCTCCACGCTGATCCTCTCCTGTTTCCAGGTAAACTTTTTTTTCTTGTAGAAAAAATGAATTATTCTCCCTTTTTCCCCCCCAAATGCACGTTGGGTTCGTGTCACTGACCCCTCAAACGTGAGAGAGGGGAGCGGGGCACTCCTTTCTCCTCCCACAGACTTTGTTAGGACACTCAGCAGATGGGGATAAAAGCTGATTGTCCCTGTTTTTCCTGGATAAACCCTGTTTTTCCCTTTTTTTCCCCCCAGTTCACTGCCCAGAAGCTCGAGCAGGCCCTGAAGCGCAGGAAGGGATTCAGCCCTCAGGCTTTTGCTGCCAAGGGTGAGGCCGGGACTGTTGCACCACAAAGGCTCCCTCCAGACTCAAAACCAGGGATTCTCCCCTGGGATCCCCCTGGAAACTGAGATCATGTGACTCCTGGAAATTTGGGAAGTCGGGTTTTTCCAAGAGCGGGAAGCGACCGTAAATGGAAGGTGCCGAGACCTCAGGGGTTTGATTATCCCCCTCCCTTAATTCCTTAAAACCTGTGGAATGAATAACTCGGACTGAGGCTCAGGGCAGGACCTGGGGGTGTTCCTGGCTGTTCCTGGTTTTCCAGAGGGCTGTTTTATCCCGGTTATCCCGTTTTTCCCCGCAGTGCAGTCGGTGTCGGCGGAGCTGGAGCGGTTGGTGCAGAGGCTGAGCCAGGATGGGACACTCAGGGACTGTGTGGAGGATCCCAAGGGGTGAGGGGGCAGGATCAGCTTGGATTTTAGGGAAAATCCCTTCAGTAAAGGGTTTTTCCAGCCCTGGGCACGGGCTGAGCAGGGCAAGGGGTGGAGTCACATCCCTGCAAGTGCCCAAAAAACCCTGTGGGTTGGGGTTTGGGGACAAGTGGGGACACGGCTCAGGGGTGGCCTTGGCAGTGCTGTTGGATTTGAAGGTCTCAGAGGCTTTTCCAGCCTCAAAAATTCCATGGTTTGGGTTAATTGAACATGTTAATGAGCTGCCCCCTCCCTGGAAGTGTCCCAGGCCAGGTTGGAGCCACTTGGGGCATGAAATTGTGTCCCTGCCCAGGGCAGGGGGTGACACTGGACCATCTTCCAGGCCTTTCCCAACCCAAACCACTCCATGGTTTTATTTTCCCGGCTCTCCTTTCCCTCCTGGCCAGCCCAGAATTCCCAGAGGTTCACCCCATTCCCTGCACTCCCGAGGATGTTTGGGGCTGACGTCCCCAGACAACCAGGACCTTCAGAGCCGTTTTTTTGAGGAGGTTGAGTTTTTCCTCTCTCATGTTGTGAATTTTAAGCACTTTCACCGAGTAGTCCCCAAACCAAAAGCTGTCCCTAAAGCTGTCCCTGTGCTTTAGGGGTTCCCTGCACTCGGCTCTGGATGAATCCGTGGCCCAGGTGAAGCAGCACATGGCCAGGTAAGGCACACCTGCACCACCAGGGCGTTCCAGGTGTGTTCACCCGGGAGGGAACACACCTGGGCACGCACCTGGAGTGCAGGGGGCACACCTGGGATGTGGAGGGAACACACCTGGGCACACACCTGGAGTGCAGGGGGCACACCTGGAGTGCAGGAGGCACACCTGAGCACACACCTGGAGTGCAGGGGGCACACCTGGGATGTGGAGGGAACACACCTGGAGTGCAGGGGGCACACCTGGGATGTGGAGGGAACACACCTGGGTTGTGGAGGGAACACACCTGGGTTGTGGAGGGAACACACCTGGGCACACACCTGGAGTGCAGAGGGCACATCTGGAGTGCAGGGGGCATGGCTGGAGTGCAGGGGGCACACCTGGGATGTGGAGGGAACACACCTGGGCACACCTGGAGTGCAGAGGGCACACCTGGAGTACAGGGGGCACACCTGGGCACACACCTGGAGTGAAGGGGGCACACTTGGGTTGTGGAGGGAACATCTGGGCACACCTGGGTTGTGGAGGGAACACCTGGGCACACACCTGGAGTGCAGGGGGCACACCTGGGATGTGGGGGGAACACACCTGGGCATACAGCTGGAGTGCTGAGGGCACATCTGGACACACCTGGAGCGCAGGGGACACCTGGGATGTGGGGGGCACACACCTGGAGTGCAGGGGGCACACCTGGGATGTGGAGGGAACACACCTGGGCACACACCTGGAGTGTAGGGGACACACCTGGGATGTGGGGGGAACACCTGGGCACACACCTGGAGTGCAGGGGGCACACCTGGGATGTGGAGAGAACACACCTGGGCACACACCTGGAGTGCAGGGGGCACACCTGGAGTGCAGGAGGCACACCTGGGCACACACCTGGAGTGCAGGGGGCACACCTGGATACACACCTGGAGTGCAGAGGGCACACCTGGAGTTCAGAGGGCACACCTGGTCCCAGAGGGCACACCTGGGCACACACCTGGAGCTCAGAGGGCACACCTGGAGCTCAGAGGGCACACCTGGTCCCAGAGGGCACACCTGTCCCCGTGCCCGCAGGTTCTCAGCCGAGCGCCAGGCCTGGGACCAACTCCTGCAGCAGCACCAGGACAGCGCCCAGGAGGCTGCCAGGTGAGGGGGGGCTGCCCCTGGGCACCAAAATCCCCACAGTCTGGGTCATTTTGGGTTATTTTGGGCCCTTTTGACCCATCCCAGTGCCCCGGGGATGCCGCAGGCTCCTGGAGACCCCCCGTGCCACCCCCCCCCAGACACCAAACCCCCAATCTGGGTCATTTTGGGTCATTTTGACTACTGGGGGGTCCCTCGGGCTCCTGGAGACCCTCCATGTCCACCCCTCAGACACCAAACCCCCCAGTCTGGGTCATTTTGGGACATTTTGGGCCATTTTGGGTCATTTTGGGCCATTTTGACCCTCCATGCCCACCCCCCAGACACCAAACCCCCTGATCTGGGTTATTTTGGGTCATTTTGGGTCATTTTGACTCACCCAGGGGTCCCCCAGGCTCCTGGAGACCCTCCGTGCCACCCCCCAGACACCAAACCCCCCAATCGGGGTTATTTTGTGTCATTTTGACTACTGGGGGGTCCCTCAGGCTCCTGGAGACCCTCCATGTCCACCCCTCAGACACCAAACCCCCCAATCTGGGTCATTTTGGGTCATTTTGACTCACCCAGGGGTCCCCCAGGCTCCTGGAGACCCTCCGTGCCCACCCCCCCAGACACCAAACCCCCCAGTCTGGGTCATTTTGGGTTATTTTGGGTCATTTTGACTACTGGGGGGTCCCCCAGGCTGCTGGAGTCCCTCCGTGCCCACCCCCCAGACACCAAACCCCCTGATCTGGGTTATTTTGGGTCATTTTGACTACTGGGGGGTCCCCCAGGCTCCTGGAGACCCTCCATGCCCACCCCCCAGACACCAAACCCCCTGATCTGGGTCATTTTGGGTTATTTTGTTTCATTTTGACTACCCGGGGGTTCCCCCAGGCTCCTGGAGACCCTCCGTGCCCACTCCCCAGACACCAAACCCCCCGATCTGGGTCATTTTGGGTCATTTGGGGTTATTTTGGGTCATTTTGTCCCTCCGTGCCCACCCCCCAGACACCAAACCCCCTGATCTGGGTCATTTTGGGTCATTTTGGGTCATTTTGGGCCATTTTGACTGTTGGGGGGTCCCCCAGGCTCCTGGAGACCCTCCATGCCCCCCCAGACACCAAACCCCCCAATCTGGGTCATTTTGGGTCATTTTGACTACTGGGGGGTCCCTCAGGCTCCTGGAATCCCTCCGTGCCCACCCCCGCGGGCCCCCCCCGGCCGTGCCCAGCTCTCAGAGCGCCGTGCTGGGCTCCAAACCCGACTACTCCCGCCTGCTGCAGGACCAGGGCCCCGCTCTGCACTGCCTGGAGCTCGTGGTGAGTCCCCCCCGCGATTTTCCGGGGCTGGTTTGGGTCGCTTTGGGTGATTTTTGGCTCATTTTGGGCGGTGTTTCCGCAGCTGGACGAGCTGTGCCAGGCTGGGGGGCTCCTGACGGCCTTCAGCGAGGAGAGCCAGTGCTGCCTGCGGGGCGTCTCGGAGCGCCTCGGTAAGAGAGACCCCCGGGGGCGGGCGGGGGGCTCCGGGAACGGGACTGGGTGTGGGGGGGGTAACAGGTTTTGGGTTATTTTGATGGGTTTTTCCGCCCGTTCCAGGCTCCAGGACCTTCCGGCAGCTGGAGAGCTCGCCGCTGTGCAGGCTGCTGGCCGCCCCGCCGCCGGAGGGCTGAGGGACCGCGGGGGTCGCTCTGTGGGTGCTGCCGGGAATAAAAACTGGGGGGACCCCGAAGCCCCCCCGGTGTCCCCCCGGTTCTTCGAGCTCCCGCGCTTCCGGGTCTGTAAGTCGTCCTCTCGTTATTGGTCCGCGCGGGTGTCACTCATCGCCCTCGGCCAATCACGGGCCGGTCCGGCGGTGAGAGGGGTGGGGTTAAAGCCGGAGGAATGAGGAACCCCCTCCGCGGTGTTTGGAGTTCCCGTTTTTTTTGGGTTGTTCGCTTCTTATTGGTCCGCCCGAGTGTCACTCAACGCCTTCAGCCAATCCCAGCCCGCCCAGAGGCGGGAGGGGCGGGGTCCCGGCGCTCTGGGGGGACGCGCCGCGATGGCGGCGGCGGAGGGTCTGTCTTCACCGGTGTGAGCTGGACCGCCGCCCCCACCACCGGAGGGGTGGTGGACCGTGGGGGTCTCGCTGTGGGTGCTGCCGGCAATAAAGTTGAGAGGCGACCCCGAAGCCCTCCCAGCGTCCTCCCTGTCCTTCGAGCGGGTCTGTGGGTTGTTCGCTCGTTATTGGCCCGCGCGGGTGTCACTCACCTCCCTCAGCCAATCACAGGCCGTCCTGCGGTGAGAGGGCGGGGTCACAGGTGTTGACTCCGCCCCCTGTCGGCCCACGCGGGGACCACCCCCCCACCCCCCCCCCCCGTGTCACTCGTGGGGACCCTGCGGGGACAGGAGGGAGGTTCCGTGCGCAGGGGGGTCCGAATGGGGGGTCTGTGTGGGGCTGTGGCCGGAGGTGGCCGGGCCTGGGGGTGCTGATAACGCCCGGCTCTTCCTGCCCGGGGGGGGGAGGGCCGGGATGGGACAGGCACGGGGACACCGCGGGGACAGGGACACCACAACAGCACCGTGGGGACACCCCGGGGACAGGGACACCAGTGACACTGCCCTGGGGACACCCCGGGGACAGGGACACCACAACAGCACCGTGGGGACACCGCGGGGACAGGGACACCACAACAGCACCGTGGGGACACTCTGGGCATGGGGACACTCTGGGGACAGGGACACCCCGCACATGGGGACACCCTGGGGCATGGGGACACCCTGGTGACAGGGACACCGATGACACTGCCCTGGGGACAGGGACTCTCTGGGCAGGGGGACACCCCGGGGACAGGGACACCACAACAGCACCGTGGGGACACCCCGGGGACAGGGACACCACAACAATACCATGGGGACACTGGGCATGGGGACACCCCGGGGACAGGGACACCAGTGACACTGCCATGGGGACACCCCGGGGACAGGGACACCACAACAATACCATGGGGACACCCCGGGGACAGGGACACCAGTGACACTGCCATGGGGACACCCTGGGGACAGGGACACCACAACAATACCATGGGGACACTGGGCATGGGGACACCCCGGGGACAGGGACACCAATGACACTGCCATGGGGACACCCCAGGGACAGGGACACCACAACAGCACCGTGGGGACACCCTGGGGACAGGGACACCACAACAGCACCGTGGGGACAGGGACACCACAACAGCACCGTGGGGACACCCCGGGGACAGGGACACCAGTGAGACTGCCCTGGGGACAGGGACACCACAACAATACCATGGGGACAGGGACACCACAACAGCACCGTGGGGACACCCCGGGGACAGGGACACCAGTGACACTGCCCTGGGGACACCCTGGGGACAGGGACACCACAACAGCACCGTGGGGACAGGGACACCACAACAGCACCGTGGGGACACCCCGGGGACAGGGACACCAGTGACACTGCCCTGGGGACAGGGACACCACAACAGCACCGTGGGGACACCCCGGGGACAGGGACACCACAACAGCACCGTGGGGACACTCTGGACATGGGGACACCCTGGGGACAGGGACACCACAACAGCACCGTGGGGACAGGGACACCACAACAATACCATGGGGACACCCCGGGGACAGGGACACCACAACAGCACCGTGGGGACACTCTGGACATGGGGACACCCCGGGGACAGGGACACCACAACAGCACCGTGGGGACACCCCGGGGACAGGGACACCACAACAGCACCGTGGGGACACTCTGGACACTGCCATGGGGACACCTCGGGGACAGGGACACCACAACAGCACCGTGGGGACAGGGACACCACAACAGCACCGTGGGGACACTCTGGACACTGCCATGGGGACACCCCAGGGACAGGGACACCAGTGACACTACCCTGGTGACAGGGACACTCTGGGCATGGGGACACCCCGGGGACGGGGACACCAGTGACACTACCCTGGGGACAGGGACTCTCTGGGCATGGGGACATCCTGGACACTGCCATGGCGACAGGGACACCCTGGGCGTGGGGACAGCCGGGGCACGGGGATATCCTGGGCACAGGGATACCCTGGGCACCCCAGGCATGGGGACACCCTGGGCACGAGGACACCCTGGGCATGGGGACACTCTGGATATGGGGAGAGGGACACCCTGCACATGGGGACACCCTGGAGATGGGGACACTCTGGTGACAGGGACACCGATGACACTGCCCTGGGGACAGGGACACCCTGGTGACAGGGACACTCTGGGCATGGGGACAGGGACACCCTGGGGATGGGGACACCCTGGGCACAGGGACACCCCATTGTCCCCCTGCCACCCTCTGGGGACTGTCCCTGTTGGTGGCACCTCCAGCCAAGCTTTGGGGGTGCAGGAAGGGGGGGGACACCCACCCGGAGGGCCCCTGTGAGTCCCATCCGGAGGGGGGGGAGGGGAAGGGGACATCCTGCCCCTCCCCCCGCTGCCCACAGGCGTTATCAGAGGGTTGGGGACACTCTGGGGACACTTTGGGGACACTTTGGGGACACTTTGGACAGCAGGGACCATGTACGGCAACGTGGACACGGGGCAGGGCAAAATTTGGGGGCCGGGACCCCCCCTCGGGGAAGGTAAAGGGGCACCCAGGGGTGCTGGGGGGGGGAGGGGGGACCCCGGCAGCCCCCCCTGTCCCCAAAACAACCCCCCCGGGTCACTTTTGGGGGGCTCACAGGGGTGGGGGCACCCCCTGTCCCTGTCCCTGATGGCCAGGGAGGGTCCCCGGGGTGGGTGGTGGCACCAGGGGGTCCCTGGTGACATTTTTGGGGTCCCCAGAGTGGGTGGTGGCACCGGGGGGGGCTTGACTGTTTTGGGGTCCCCAGGGTGGGTGGTGGCACCAGGGAGGGGGTCCTGAGTGACATTTTGGGGTCCCCAGGGTGGGTGGTGGCACCGGGGGTCCTGTGACTTTTTGGGGTCCCCAGGGTGGGTGATGGCACCGGGGGGGTCCCCAGGGTGGGTGGTGGCACCAGGGAGGGGTCACTGGTGACGTCTTTGGGGTCCCCAGGGTGGAGTGGGTGGCACCGGGGGGTCACTCGTGACTGTTTGGGGTCCCCAGGGTGGGTGGTGGCACCGGGGTCCCCAGGGTGGGTGGTGGCACCGGGGGTCACTCGTGACTGTTTTGGGGTCCCCAGGGTGGGTGGTGGCACCGGGGGTCCCCAGGGTGGGTGGTGGCACCGGAGGTCACTCGTGACTGTTTTGGGGTCCCCAGGGTGGGTGGTGGCACCGGGGGTCACTGGTGACTGTTTAGGGTCCCCAGGGTGGGTGATGGCACTGGGGGTCACTTGTGACTGTTTTGGGGTCTCCAGGGTGGGTGGTGGCACCGGGGGGTCACTCGTGACTGTTTTGGGGTCCCAGGGTGGGTGGGGTCCCCAGGTGAGTGGTGGCACCAGGGGTCACTGGTGATGTTTTTGGGGTCCCCAGGGTGGGTGGTGGCACCGGGGGGGGTCCCTGGTGACGTTTTTGGGGTCCTCAGGGTGGGTGGTGGCACCGGGAGATCCCCAGGGTGGGTGATAGCAGCGGGGGGGTCACTCGTGACTGTTTTGGGGTCCCCAGGGTGGGTGGTGGCACAGGGGTGTCCTGGTGACGTTTTGGGGTCCCCAGGGTGGGTGGTGGCATCGGGGGGTCCTTGGTGACTGTTTTGGGGTCCCCAGGATGGGTGGTGGCACCGGGGGGTCACTCGTGACTGTTTTGGGGTCCCCAGGGTGGGTGGTGGCACTCGGGGGTCACTCGTGACTGTTTTGGGAGTCCCCAGGGTGGGTGGTGGCACCAGGGGGTCCCTGGTGACGTTTTGGGGTCCCCAGGATGGGTGGTGGCACCGGGGTCACTCGTGACTGTTTTGGGGTCCCCAGGGTGGGTGGTGGCACCGGGGGGTCCCTGGTGACGTTTTGGGGTCCCCAGGGTGGGTGGTGGCACCGGGGGTCCCTGGTGACGTTTTGGGGTCCCCAGGATGGGTGGTGGCACCGGGGGGTCCCTGGGGACGTTTTGGGGTCCCAGGGTGGAGTGGCAGGAGGTCCCAGGGTGGTGGTGGCACCGGGGGGTCACTTGGGACTGTTTTGGGGTCCCCAGAGTGGGTGGTGGCACTGGGGGTGTCCCTGGTGACGTTTTGGGGTCCCCAGGATGGGTGGTGGCACCGGGGAGGGGTCACTGGTGACGTTTTAGGGAGTGTGGCTGGTGGCGTCTTTGGGGTCCCCAGGGTGGGTGGTGGCACCAAAAGTGACCTATGGGGGTCCCCCTCGTGCTCCAGGGGGTCCCAGGGCTGACGGTGACACCGGGGGAGTGTAATCCCCAAACTCCCCCACTGTGTCATCCCCCCTTTCCCAGAGCTGGACCCCCCGAGGAGAACCCCTACGAGCCCTGGACCCCCAGCGCCCCTCCAGCCAAAAACAGGGGATGCGACCCCGAGGCCCCCGGGAGCGGCCGGGGAGGGGGGCGGGGCTCTGGGCCCCTCTGCCCTCTGGGGGCTCCTGGAGGGGGCGGTGGGGCTGCTGGTTTTGGGGTCGCTGCTGCTCAGCGTCCTCCTGCTCGCCCTGGGGTCACGCCACGGTCAGTGGGGGGTCACAGGGGGGTTTGGGGGTCTCTGGGGTGGGGGTGGGGAGCCAATCCTACCCTGATCTCGTGTCCCCTCGTGTCCCCTCAAATCCCATCCCTAACACTGAGATCCCCCAATTCCCCCCGACCTCGTGTTCCCCCCACAATTCCACCCATGGCCCACCCCGTGTCCCCCCGTGTCCCACTCCATGTCCCCCAGTGTGTCCCCCTCGTGTCCCCCAAATCCCAACCCTAACACTGAGACCCCCAATTCCCCCCCGACCTCGTGTTCCCCCCACAATTCCACCCATGGCCCCCCGTGTCCCCCCTGTGTCCCACTCATATCCCCCCTGTGTCCCCTCGTGTCCCCCAAATCCCACCCCTGACCCTGAGACCCCCAATTCTACCCATGGCCCCAGACCCCCCAACCTCCCTGTCCCCCCCGACCCTCCTGTCCCCCCGTGTCCCCTCCTGTCCCCCCATGTCCCCCCATCCTCCCTGTCCCCCGTGTCCCCTGACCGGTGTCACCCCCATGTCCCCCCTGTCCCCCGTGTCCCCCCATCCCCCTTGACTCCGGT